ATCAACATGTCGACTTCTTCTTTTAACGCTTCATACCTCTCGGGGTTCATTGGTCGGCATTTCTGACGTTTGGGGTGATACGAAGGTCGACGTTTAGAGTATGACATATGACTTCCGAGTCGATCCCTTCCATATCGGCATGGGTACAGGCAAACACATCCAGGTTCTTCTTGAGGAATCCCTCGACCTCAACCCTGAGCGCCGGAGCCAAATCCGAGCCCACCTTCAGCACCCTTATTGGCTCAGCCTCGTCCACCTGGAGTTCTACCAATTGTTCGACAGGTTGGGACCATGCGACCTTTTCTTAGACTCGGGGGTCTATGTCTTCCACGGTGCCCTGATGGACCACCCTGGATTCCAGCCTTCCTGGTTGATCGTACCTTCGCAGGGCGTCTGAATACGCAACCGTAGACTCATATTGGTCGCTCTTCATTTCACCTACGCCACTTGGGGTGGGGAATTTGACCTTCTGGTGGTAGATGGAGGTTATTACCCTCAACGCCTGAAGGGTCGGCCTCCCGATCACGACATTGTATTATGAGCCTCCTTTTATTACCACAAAATTAGCCATCGTTGTGGCTTGCCTAAGCTTCTCCCCCGCAGTTATTGGCAGCCGGATTGTTCTTTGGGGGATAACAGAATCCCCTGTGAATCCGTACAACGATCGTGTGGTCTTCTCTAGTTACTCTTTAGGAATTCCCATCTTTTTCAAACAGTCGGAGTATAAAAGGTCCACCGAGATTTCATTGTCCATGAGGATTCTGCACACGGTGTGATTCCCGATGATTGCTTCCACCACCAGGGCGTCGTTATGGGGGAAATGGACCCCATTTGCATCCTCCTCGTTGAATGTCACGTCAGCATTGTTGAATTTGGCTGCCTTTGCACTTGAGAGACTCCAAAATCTTTCCTGGTACACCCCTCTGGCCTCATTGGTGTAATCTTTTTTAGACCTTCTTGAGTATCCTCTAATATACGGACCGCCGAGGACAGTTCGTATAACGCTGACGGGTTCTCGTTCCTCTGGGCGCCGGGGTCTTCTCGGGGTCGACCGTCATTTTGGCCGCCGTGGCCGTCGTTTCTTGGCCTGCGCTCGGCCTTGAATTCTTGCAGCCTTCCTTCACGGATTACCCTTTCGACCTCGTCTTAAGGGTCGGCTCAATCATTGGTGTGGTGGCCGACGTCGCCGTGGAACCTGCAGTACTTGTTCTGGCTCCTTCGGCTGGGGTCTGACCTCATCGGTTCTAGTCGACGCAGCAAGTTCCCGCGACCGACCTGATTAAGCACTTCCTCGACTCCCATTGTTAGTTTATGGTATGAGTCGTACCTTTGGGACGGTCGAGGCTTCCGGTTCTCCTCTTGCCTTGGCTTTTTAGCTTCTGGCGGGTTTGGCGTCAAGGCAGGCTATTTGTCTCTATTTCCCCCACTTTGGTGTTTCTTTCCATCCGGCTTCCCTAGCGTCGACCCTTGCTCTGAGTTTTTCTTATTGGATCAGTGTTCAAGGTCGTTGGCGTCAGCCTCCTCGGCGTTAATGTATCCTTATGCCCGCGCGAGGAATTCTTTGTAGGTCGATGGGGGCTTCTGGTTCAAGTCCCTTTTAAAGGGAGTAATTTTCTTCATGTTGGACAAAGCCCCCATTAGAGCCTCCCTGTCAGTCCTGTTCGTTGTGGCGGTGACGGCTTCTCCGTACCTTGCGAGCCATTCTTTCAATGACTCGTTCGGCTTTTGATATATCGTCGTCAAGTTCTGCTTCGGGGGGACATACTTTTTTACTCCAATGAACTAGAGGGAGAAAGCCTTCTTCAATTCATCCCAACTCAAGATGGAGTTCGGTTTGAGTGTTCTGAACCATATTCGGGCGGAGTCCGTCAGATGGTTTCAGAAGGCTCGGCACATGATTTCCTCGGCATACCAATGTAAGAGCATGTGCCCCGTGTACATCTCTAAGTGGTCATCGGGATCCCCTCTACCGTCGTATGGTGGGATCGACGGTGACCTGTATTTATTAGGAAGAGGTGGCGCCATGATTTTCGGGGTGAATGGGTGGTCATGTGTTCGGTAGGGTGTAATATCGACATTTACCACCTCCGCCACTTGCCTTATATTCCTCTTTAGGCCAGCAACATCGCCTGTGAGCTTTTGCTCCAAGCTTGTCATGCGCTCCATGATGGCTCTTGCTTCTTCCGTCGAGATCGCAGAGCCAGCTCCTCTTGAAGCTTCTGCCCTTTGTGCATTTGGCATGCCCCTTGCCTCTCTGCCTGCTTGTACCAACCCTGAATCTCCAGGAAGGTTTTCATCCGGGTTTTGAGGTGGCACTTCGGGGTTCTCCAGGCCTCTGGCTACTTGGTTTTCATGGGCCCGGCGTCTGGTGGCTCTTTAGCGACTGCCGGAGGATTGGGAAGGTCGAGGCCTCGGGTCACCTCTGAGATTTTCGCTGTCACCGATTCCTTCCGGGGCATTTTGACGGTCACCAGGATTTTGGTTTCCAGCCACAGCAGCTCCCGATGGTCTCGGGGCGTCTTCTAGAGGCGGCATCGAGTTTCTTCCATCCAACCGCTCGACGACAGTCGTCAACCCCCGCACCAGGTCTGTCAGAGTAGCGAATGGGCCTGCATCTGCAAGGGGTCAGGTCATGGCACTTCCAGGGGTGGAACTTCATTCCTAACTGGAGGTTGGTTTTCTTCAATCCCATCATTCGCCGGAGGCACATCGTTTTCCTCCACCTGGCCGCCTTGGTTGAGATCTCTTCTCCTCGGAGGCATGGTCACTGACTATTTCTTCATTGTTGGGGGTCAAACGTATGAACTAGAGATTCTGAGTTCGGTCCCCAATGGAGTTGCCAATTGTTGACTGTCAAATTTCGTCAACTGGGTTATGCCGGGTTACCTCCTGGTATCCCGTGAGGTTAACGGCCAAAATTTGATTGTGGAAGTGTAATTGATACTGTGAAGTGTATGTTGTACTTTTGCGGTGGAGAATAACATGAAAAGCGATACTTAAATGTGAAAACACACAGAGTTTATAGTGGTTCACTCTATTAATCAAGAGCTACATCCACTATTTCGTTATATGTATTTTTTGTTCTCCGATTACATGTGAAAAAGAAAAGAAAAACCCCCCGAGCTTGGGGCTTTGCCCCTCTTTTATAGCCCAAGTTTACTTCATGGGCGGTTTTCCTCTGTAGACCTCTCTGTAGACCTCCACTCGAGTGCCTGCCATCCTATGGGCCTAGACCCATAGCCACCTAATTGCCTTTTGGACTGTTCATTCATCTAATTAGTCCTCCATTACGGCTCTGCACTCCCTGTAACCCTCCACCGTCCAGTTGTGGATGGTTTAAGTATTTGTTGTTAATGCCTGCATTACAGACTTCTTCCAAGCGCACACGTTTCCTCAGGGGGTCCCATGTTTATACGGTCGGCTTCCAGCTGGCCTTCTGTATATACGGTCGTCTTCATGAGCCCAGATGAGAATTAGGCTAGGCGCCGCCCTTTACACGGTCGACCTTAACGAGACCCCTGATGTGGGTGAGTTGGGTAAATGCCGAGGTCTTATTAGGTCGGCGGTATGACAAGTCGATAGTTTGGCCGACGTGGTTATTACAGGGCCACGTAGAGCGCTGTTGTTGTCCGACGTGTCAAAACATATTTTCCCGCACAATAATATATATCATTGAAAATAATACTATAAAGCATTATCACATGAGAAGTGTCGATACTACACTCAGATAGAAGATGGATTTTGCAGATTAAGGTGCGTAGATAAGGTCCACCTTCCATTAGTTGTTTGATTCGTTTTGAACTCAAATTCAATGACTTGTGCATGACGAAGTCGACAGCTTCACATGACAACCGTAATCTATCTCGCCCTCTCACATGCACCTCGTTCTCCTCCTCGTCCTACTCCTCAACTCAACGGCTATCGAGCTACTTCCTTGAGTCAAGCCATCCCGTCACTACAGATCAATTGGTGCCGCGTGGGTGTCCTTAAAGTGAATCCTCAACTCATATTAGACCTGCTAAACTAGATCCGTCGACTCTAGTAAATTCTTTGGTTACTAGCTAAAACCAATATGTGATCTTGGTAACTTAAAAGGATTTATGTGATAAATACAAGATTAACCAAATAAACTAAAAATATATATAAAAAAGTATTGAATTTGAGTTGTTTTGATAAGTGAAGGATTACTTTACGTAGTAGTAACTATAGGATTTTACCTAATAATTACCAATCTATTGTAGTAAATGCATATTTATCAATTTATTTAGGGATTTCACTTAATATTTATCAAGTAATTAATACCTATTTTACCTCCCTTTTCTCGCCGCTATTCTCATCGGCCCCACTGTTGTGTCGTGTTTTAATCTAAAAATTACATTACACAGTAAAATTTCATAATTTGAAATAAATTTTATAAAAATTTTTAAGATATTATAAAAATAATAAAAATGACATAGTAATTATTACAATAATATCATGTTTTTTACTACATAATAATATTTTAATCCTTTAAAAATGATATTTTAACCATATTAAAATTTGTTATTTTAATAATAATTTTATTTCAACGTTACTGCTATAAATCTGTTATATGTGTAAAGAGCGTGGCTTTAATTGCGAAGAGTGAATCGGACCCTTACTCTAGTATTAGCTGCCCAATATAGAGTTTCGAAGGCCCAAATTACAGCCCGTAACAATTGAACACAGCAAACAGGAAAGGCCGAAAAGTTCCTTGATCGGGAGCGGCCCGACACGGAAAAAATGGAGAATTTAACATATACTTAAAATTATTTAATTAAAAAAATTATAAATTAAGAGTAAAAATTAAAAATTTTGATATATTTTAAAAAAATATTTATTAAAATTACCCGTCTAAACTCTTTTCTACTTTATAGTATCCACCGAACAAAACAAAACGACACACGACACATCACACATGTTGATGCCGGTTATATTAATAACTAATTAAATATTTTAATAATCATACGATCGTCAAAAACCCCATTCTCAGCCTAAAACCCCCCAAACCCACTCCAGTCCGTCCCCAACTATAATTGAAAATTGAAAAAGAAAAAAAGAAAGGTAAAAAATGGCACTCTTTGCAAAACCCTAAAACCCATAGAAGAAGAAGAAGAAGAAGATGGAGGAAGAGGAAGGACCTCCAAAGAAGGAGCTATACGCGCTGCTCCATGTATCTCCGGAAGCCTCCGACGAAGAAATCAGAAAAGCCTATCGCCAATGGGCTCAAGTCTATCATCCCGACAAATACCAATCTCCCCATGTAATCTATCTATCACTAATCAATTTCCTAACTTTATTCAATTTCTTTTCTTCTTTTTTTTTTTTTTGAGTAATAATTAATTCTATATATGATATGATATGATATGATATGATGAGCAATTTCAGATGAAGGTCATTGCTACGGAGAACTTCCAACGCATTTGCGAAGCCTACGAGATATTAACCGACGAGAATAAGAGACAAATTTATGATATTTATGGCATGGAAGGACTCACCTCTGGTTTGGAGCTGGGTCCCAAGCTCAACAAAGCGGAGGAGATTAAGGAGGAGCTCGAGAGATTGAAGCGAAGGAAGGAACAGGAAAAGATGTCTTCTCATTTCCGGCCTTCTGGTACAATTCTCGCCAGCATGTCCGTCCCTCACTTTCTTTGTGGCGATAGCTTCATGCGAGGGTATGTTCTAGTGTACTTTTAATTATGCTGCTTCTTTCTTTTTTTTCATATGAAATTCCCACGTGTTAAATGTGCCTAAAAATGTCAGCATGGCTATGAGAAGCGAAGTTCAATCTCAGATTTCGAAGCGGAATACTCTGGCAGTCGCTGGAAACTTGGAAGTCGATGGAAATGCTGGTGGTGGGGCTGCCACTCTCGTTTTTAGGCATCAGATTTCTTCGGTTTCTTCCATTGAATTTATGGCTTCGGCCGGTTTACATGCGCTCGTTGGAGTCCAATCGTCTCGGTAGGCTCAGTTCTTTTGCAAACCTCCTCAACTTGACTGTTCAGTAGATATCAGTGTTTTTACTTACTTACTGGTTCGTTCCTGTTTCCAGTCACCTAACATTACACTCAACGGCTACAATGGCGGTTGCGATGTCTTTGAGAGATGGCTCATTGAATCTCACTAATACATGGACTCGCCAACTGTCTGATAATGCAACCGGAAATGTACGTCTTTTCTCGGCTTTAACTTCACTCAGTTTTTGATCTTTTCTGTTCCTTATATTTTGTATATCAATAAGAGCATGTCATGAATGGGTGATTGACGAAAAGTGATACCAACTTAAAGATTAAAGATACAATACCGCCATGTCTGTATGCAATTTTTATACAATTTTATTCCATCGTTTACGTGGACGCACTAGCTTTCATGTGCAAAGTAGCACAATGTTGAACTACTGGAAAGGGGCCGTGTAAAAGCTTAGCAGCTTTAACAGTAAAGTAACAAAAGGATGAATATGAGTCATAAAAGACAACTGGAGACGACTTTTATTTGCTAATTGTTTATGTTTTTCTTTTGGCGTTCCTGCTCCGTAACAGATACAACTTGGTTTAGGCCCAGAATCATCTATTTCAGTTGGATGGCAAAAGAAATCAGAGAAAATGTCTGCTGCTGGAGAAGTAAAGGTACATTTTTAATTTAATATATGTGACACTTTCTTAGAATACCCCTCATATCAGTGTTTTCTACTACAATCGGTTGTTATTATCATTCCTGTCCTCCTTTCGATATGCACTCACCTTCCTACTATTATGTTCAAATTGCTATAAAATTTCTTTTTCCTTTTTTCCCCTCTCATTGAACGGTCCTCGTATTCAATTATCTATGTTGGTATTATCTTTCCTTCCCTCTCCAATCATGTGCTACTGCTGCAGCTTGGCACAGGTTCCTTTGGTGCATCAGCTCAGTACACTCACCGCTTTTCGTCAAAGTCTCATGGCCGTGTCGCAGGCAAAATTGGGAGGTATTCACAATGCAGATAGCAATTTAATTGAGAAGCTTTTATGTAATCGTTTGTCTTTGTTGTTGCAATAAATCCATATAAGATGGTTGTTTTCTTCTTGTATAATCAGTTACAATTATTAGTAACTTAGATGGTAATATTCTCATGTGAACAACATTTCGCAGCACCAATCTTGAGATTGAAGTTGGCGGAGGAAGGAAGTTATCTAATTTCAGCACTGTCCGAATGTTGTATTCAATAGGGATTCAGGTATTGCAGAAAGAAAATTGGTTGGTTGGTGATCTTGATATCTACACGTTATTTTTTCCCCCCTCCAGAGAGGAGGGGAAGGAGTTAGTTTGGCTGCTTTGATACGTAAATATATTTACAGAAACATCATCTTTCCACTTCTTAGGTTCATTATTATTTCTCATTTCCATTCTTCATCATCTCTTGCTCCTTTCTTGTGTATTAGCTATGACATAATAAGGAAAAATAGAAACAAGATATCTTTTGGGTTGCAGCGATAATTGTTGTTTTTTTTCTCCATTGTAAGATAAAATGTTATTCTGGTATTATTACTGTTAAAGATTCATAGGAACCCTTGCGTTATGTAATTTGCAGGGTATCTTTTGGAAATTTGAATTGCACCGAGGGGGCCAAAAACTACTTATTCCTGTAAGAATGATCTTTTCTCTCCTTGCTCTCTCTTCCCTGGATTCATGTTCTTGGAGCTGTCATATCATGGCCATTATAAGATTTTGTCACGCGTCTTCATGAGCTGGCATATTATTTATTACTTTTTGATCTCTTTTGATTAATTGTTGAGATCCTCTATTTGCAGATTCTACTTACCAGGCGTTTAAATCCTGTGTTTGCAACTGGAGCTTTCGTGATTCCGACATCAGTGTACTTTTTACTCAAGGTTGTTTATCAACACCACACTCAATATTTCTGACTAATCTGTTTAGCAGTTGGAATGTGTTGTCCGATTCAGTTAATCTTATTTTGGATAAGTCTCAAAGCTTTTACTAAGATGTCAACTAAAGTGTCAACTTCACCATCTTTTCTTTCTTCTCTTGGACCTTCCAACTAGAGTTGTGTGTCTAGAACTGGGTCTAGTTGAAACATTGTATGGTCCGTTTAAGAAGTAGTATGAGTTTCCTGGTGGTAGACATCCCTCATCAAGCACACAACAGGGGTTCGTCTCTCCTGTAGTGAATCTGAAATCCTCTGTTGTTCTCTCTTTTGTATGCAAAACAAAAATTTTAGTGTCTTTAACCGTTCGCCCGATCTATGGGAGGAAGTCTAGTACTAGTTCATTTTAGTTCTTGCAGAAACTGCTTTATCTAACTTTCAGTTTTGACTTTTGAGTAGTTTCTTTGTGCTCTTATTTGGATCGAAAGCAAGACAAAACTTCTCTCTTTTTTTCCTTCTTTTTTATCCCTTCAGCGGCCGAGAAAGGTTTTCCAGAATGATTCTCCATTGTATAAATATATCTAGAAAAGAAAGAATCTAAATAAAGGTGCATGTGCGGGAAGGGGGATTCACATTTAGTCATATTTCAGCTTCTTCATAAAGATTTGAAGTCACCGTTTCCCTGCTGTATTTAGTGTGATGAAAACCAGTTGGAATTTGGAAATAAGAATAAGAATTTAAGGTGTAAATTGATTCATTCTTGTCTGTATATGAACTTTTAATTATTTGCCGTCTGTGGCTTGCAGAAATTCGTTTTCAAACCTTATTACCGGAAGAGGGAGAAGCAGAAGGCTTTGGAGAATATGGAAAAAACTTCTGCGCAGGTATGTTTCCTATGGCTGACATTGACATTTGATTGATTACTGATCAGCTATTCCCCTCCTTTTTTATGGACATTTTATTTACCATAGTTGGAAGCGCTGTAAGAGTTTCAAGTCCCTTAATATAGGTTCGAGAGGCAAGAGCAGCGGCAGATAAAGCTCAGCAGTTGCTACAAAATGTAGCCAACAGGAAAAAGGCTAGGCAATTAGAGAGAGGTGGACTGGTAATTACAAAAGCAGTCTATGGAAATGGTAAAGCTTTGAAGAGAATAGATGAACCTGTAGAAGCAAATGACGAATCAGCTTCACAAATCATAGATGTGACATTGCCTCTTAATTTTCTGGTCAATGATTCGGGCCAGCTCAAGGTAAGATGGTTTGAGTTTCTGTTTCTGCTATAAGATTAGATCTTTCTTTCTTTAATCAGTTTCTTCTTTCAGTGTCAATAAAAACTAGCCATAGTATAGTTATTCAAATGCTTCTAGTGTGAAATACTTGATGTCCTCACTAGTAAGAATCCTTGACCATCTTAAACTTGCAACGCAAGCCATTATGTTAGTGGTTTGAGAACTTTAAACAAGCGCGATTTGGATGCTTCAGAAACTGTCTTAGCGAGCTAGTTTTTTGGTTGACATGCCAGTATTCTAGTTCATGCAATTCTTGAATACATAAAGCTGAGGACAATTATGCCTTGGAGTAGGCATAAATCTTCTCTCAATTTTGATTGTTTCTGCAGCTTCACGAAGGTGTAAAGAAGTCAGGTATCATGGGTTTCTGTGATCCTTGTCCCGGAGAACCTAAGCAGTTGTATATCGAGTACACTTATGGTGGCAGGAGATACGAGGTACCACATTTTTTCTTTTAATGAACGCACCTCCTAAGAGACAGGAGGGAATATTCCCCATTAGAATAAGAGCAAACAATGCAAAAACTGTTTAATTAAACCCATAAAAAGGTAAACCTAAGGAAAAATAGAGCAAGGAGCAGACCTCGACCACATCCTATTCCTGTTCCTTACACCTAAAGAAGTCATCTTGTTGCACAAGTGTTAGCTTCTTAGGCATTACATAAGACAAATCAGAGTATCCTTTTCAATCCCTAATTTATTAGCTAATCCCACAATTCAACCGCTGTTTTATGAAACAAAAGTATGCTGAGCAAAGTTATAGGCTAATGGTTTTGTGTTTCAGGTGGTGGTTGATGATTATGGGGAGTTGCTAATACCGCAAGAACGGCACAGAATTTGAATACAATCCATACTTTTAGATTTACAAAACCTCGGTTGCCTCTTTCAATTTTGCATGTCTAACATGCCTTTGAGGTGCCACAACTAGATTAACACCTCATTTTCTTTTATTTCAGAATTATATACAATTTGTCCTGAAATGTCATACTTGTTGAGGTCTTGAAACATAAGCTTCGTTTCTTGGTGTACCTTTTTATCTCCCTCAAGTGAAATGAAAACCATTTTGTTCATAGTTTAAACTTTGAAGTGCTGTCAACAATTTTCTGTGATTCGCATGCGGAGGCTTTTAGTTTTGCATTATTCATTCAATATTATGGAATTCCGCTTTCTTTTCTGGTATCTTTTCAAGTTTTTGAATTAACCCGTTCAATATTTGGAGTTTCTGCGGATACCATTCCTTCCAAGTGTGTATCGCTCCTCTGACATTCTTGCCTGCTTGCTCTCTCTTCCTTTTGATCTGCTGATACATTTCAAGCTTTTAGTTCAAAGTTGTGTAGACGTTTCGGCATTTCTCTCTCCCTCTCTTTGTTTCCTCAACGTGCTTCTTAATTTCCTTTGCCTTCTTTCATGTTGCTCTAATTTTCATGTTATATATATATATATATATATATATATAACTTTTTTTTTATCTTTACTTCACGTTTTTTTATGGGAACTTCTTCATGAATTTTTCAATGCTTATAAACTCTTTTTTTTTTTTTTTTTGTAAACATTTATTGATTAAGAACATTTGATTAATAAATACTATTCCTAAAACAAGATATTGGAAATGAAAACAACATTTGACTAGGAGTCTTTAATTTCTTCTTCGTGTCCTCATGTCTCGTGTCTCCTTTTTATCTCACCCTCTCTTTCTTTTGCTCACCTTGGTTCTTTCCTTTGATGGCCAACTTTCATATTGCTATTTTCTTCTTTCCTTTTTTTTTCTATAATTATTCTTCAATCTTTTGTGGAATATAAACCTATGTTAGGATCCTGGTTGAGTCCCACATTGCTAAGTATGGGCTTGGCATGTGGGTTTATAATCACTTGGACACCCTCTCCTTACAAGTTAATTTTTGAGGATGAGTTCTACTCAAGGGTTATAACAAAACCCTTGTTCCTTTATTATTATTTTTTTCCCTTCTTTCTCACATTTTCTATAATTAGTTTTTAAAAGAAAACTAATTATCTTGACATGCAACCTAGAAAAAAATAAAAAATTAGTAAATATTGATAAAAAATAGTACAATTTTTTTAGACTGGAAAAAAAGAAATAGTACAATTTAGGATTTCATAGAGTAAATTCGATTAATCCATTATTTATATGATTCCCACGTTTCCCATGTTTATTTTACAAGCTTGCAACGTCCAAGTTTATTAGGAGACGAGTAAGGTCAGTACGGTGTTAGAACAAAATGAATACTGATTTTTACTAATCAAATAAAATAAATAAATAATTGTTCGTTATCCTTATAAATAAGCCTTTCATTTTTTTCTCTCAAAAATAAGGTGGCCTTTACGGTAGAACAAGTTATTTTGCTCCACCGGATAAATAAATAATTGTTCGTTATCCTTATAAATAAGCCTTTCATTTTTTTCTCTCAAAAATAAGGTGGCCTTTACGGTAGAACAAGTTATTTTGCTCCACCGGTGGGACAAATGTTTATACTGTTGTATTAATTTTTTAATGGTCAAATCTGCAGCAGAAGTAGTTTTATGTGACATGCTGAAAATTTTTAATACGGACATGCACAAATCTAACCGTTAAGAGACTAATCTAACAGCTAATTTAACATATTATTAAGTAAAAAAAAATCAACAAAGAAAAAGAAAATACAAATAGATATACTTTTTTGCCACACTGATGAAACCACATTAATCTCTAAAATTAATCACAGAGGATATAATAACATTAATCTCTGTCTCATATGGGACGAGTTTTTCTCTTTAATTTTCTAACTTCACAGACTTATTTTGAGTGTCAATTTTTTATATACTCGTGCATCATTTTAAGTATATGAATATATAATTTCGATCTCTTTATAAAGGAGTAAATGAATCCACCTTAACCCGTCACTAAAGTGAAGTGAGTCTCTCTTAAAATTAAGCCTGAAAATGATATCTTAAAATTACCGATATAATATATAGTTATGTATTTCAAAGTTATAACAACTTAAACAAAAATTTACTACAAATTTAAACCAAAATCAGAGGAGTACACATAAGCTAAAAAATTCTGAAAACATAAAAAAAAAAAATAGATATAAATTATCCTTCATGATAATCTCGCTAGGTTAGGATTAAGTAATTTAATAATTGTATATAGAAAATCAAAGAATAATATTAACCGACTTAGATTATTAATTAGTAATTGTCTTTTTTTTAGTAAAAGAAAGGTAAGGAGTACTTTTCTTTCCTTTTTATTTTTTAATAAAAAGAACGAATTATGTTTAAAACATTACATTGGTATATAGCATGTTCGTTTCATGGTTCAAGCAGATTGAACTCAACCCATGAACCTGGTTAAAACGGGCTTCCCCACTTCCACTCCCACTATTTTTTTTTTTTTTTTTTTCAGAGCATAGTGTTAGTTCTTATGATGTCAATGAAGAAGAATATGATGTTTCGGAACCATTGCTATAGACATGAACCTCAAAATTTTTATATGTATACATGATCTTCATATTTTCGTAATTGCAGCGACGGATGCAAGATTTTATTTCAGTGGGATACAAGATAAATTAATAAATTAAAATTAATATAAAAAAATGTTGGTTTCACTATAAAAAAAAAAAAAAAAGTTAAAGGTTAAATTGTACCGTTGCATTCTAAACTATTTAGTTTTCACGTAAGATAATCTTGCATCCTAAATTATTTCTTTTTTACGTAATGTACTCAAAACTTTTAATTTTAGTAAATTACACTCGTTAAAATCAATTGCATTTGAGATTTAATAAGTAATGAATGTTATCAAATTGATAATTTAAACACATAATTTACACATAAAAGATAAAAATCATCATTGTTACATGATTTCTGAAGAGGATGAAGGAGGAGAAAAAGAAAGAATGAAAGAGCCTGTTTCTTTCAAGATGCCATCGATTCAGAAAAAACTGTTATGAAATTCCTTTATATAAAGGAAGAAACAGGAGGGCTAAAAAAAAAGACGGTGCGTGTGTGCAGAAAAAGTGAGAGAAAACAAAAAAGACTTCTCAGAAGAATGTGCGTGTGTGCAGAAAAAAGGGAGAAAACAAAAAAGGCTTCTCAGAGGACTGTGCGTGTGTGCAGGGAAAGGTGAGAGAAAACAAAACAAAACAAAAAAGCAAAAAAAGCTTGTGTGCAGAAAAAAAAAGTGAGAGAAGAAATATATATATATATATAGAAAGGTGCAGAAAGTGTGGGAAAACGTGGGAAGGAAACAAAAAATTTTGTACAGATAAATCACGTTTAAATTAAGTCCTATATATACTTTAAAGTGTGAGATTGTAATTTATTTTTTGACACTCTCTATGAAGATAAATTTTATATACGTCTTATGGTGTGAGATTTCTTATTTGTAACTCTTAATAAATTCCTAATGCACTCATAGTGTGTGGCTTCTCATTTTTATCACAATCCTATGATTATCACTAAGACTTTGATTTCTTTTTAGAGATCTATATAAGTTAAATGTGATTTCAAAAAAATTAAGGATTAAAAGTTTCTCAAATTATTAAGTACGATTCTTTTTAGAGATTTATATGAATATTTTTATTTTACAAGCTTGTAATTCGATTATTTATATGGGAGATTATGTGCATATGATATATAAAAATATTCATATAAATCACACTATACCCACCAAAAAACAATCAAAGAAGAAAAATAATAATAAAAAATGAGAGCAAGCAACCGTCACTTGTATCTCTTTCTCAATATCTTCACAAAAATATATATATATGGCTCACATATATATATATATATAAATACATTCCCGAGTCCTCAACTCCAAAAGAAAAACGTGTGGAAGGGATAAGGGAAATCCAAATCACTTTTGAAAATTAAATTGTTAGCAAAAAAAGGGAATTTTAATTCCTCTTGAAATTAGAAGATCAGTCAAAACAAATCAAATCATAACAAATCTAATATAAATGGTAGATTTAATTTTAAATTTTGAAATAAAAAAAATAGAAATAAGACAATAATCTCAAAAGAAATTCGGAATATTAAATACCCCAAAATTTAAAGTGCATAAATTGGGCCCTTCTATGGTCCTTTAGTGCAAAAGATGAGCCCATTATCTCATAAAACCATATGGTGATTAAATATAATTTTTAAATCTCAAATTCAAATAAAAAAATCTCAACACCAAATTCAAAAAGGATCCTTTTAATTTCCTATATGGTCATATACCGGGGAATTATCCAAATACAACTTTCAAATCCAAACTCTAAAGTAAAATTCCAAATCGAATTTCAAAAAAACATCTTTGAATTCCTCCTATAGTCATATATCAGGGAATTTTCCAAAATTCAAAACTCAAAACTCAAGAACTACGATTGACTTGATTCCCTATGAGATACGTAGGCAACCTAAAATTTAGGTGCAGTTTCAAGACCAAATTCAATTCTAAAATTCCCATAAAAGATAAAATCAATACAAAACCAAATCAAGTTTCAAAGTGCGTCAATTCTTCATAAGGTCATACACCAAGAAATTATCCAAAATTCTCAAAATCAAATTTTGAATTACGATTGACTTGATTCTCTCTCGGATACGTAGGCAACCTAAAATTTAGGTGTAGTTTCAAGACCAAATTCAATCCTAAAAAAAAAAAAATCATCATAAAAGACAAAGTCAAAACAAAACTAAATCAAACTTTGAAGTGCATAAATTCCTCATAAGGTCATACACCGAGGAATTATCCAAATTTTTAAAACCAAAATTCGAACTACAAGTGGCTTGATCCCTTAATGGGGTATGTAGGCAACTCGATAAAATTCACTGGGTTCAGCCGCAATTTTAAATCAACTCAAATTTCCTAAATTCACAAAAAATAGAATTTACCATTTTAACTGGAATCAAAAGGCCTTCTCTTGTACCAAGAGATTGTAATTAAGAGGTTATTCTTATAATTTTGGATGGGCCGAACTAAAAATAATAAACTCCTATACTAATTAAATCCTAGTATAGGTAAAATTATGTTGTGTGTGAAATATTATTTTAACATTAATAAATATTTTCACTCAACAAAGAGTTAACATCTATAAATCCAAAAAAGCATATAAACTCTAAATTACAAATTTAAAAGTTGATTAAACATCCCATCTAACAAACAACTTAAAGAAAACATAATCTAAAATACCGATATGCACGTTTAGTGCTCTCTTTGAATCTAGAAAACACACGTTACACAGCACTCCAACTATGAAAAAGAAAAAACAAAAGTTGAAGAAATGTTAGTATAATAGATATCACAGACACCAAATCTAAAGAAATGTTAGTTGAAATGTTGGAGGGGCACTTGGCGGCTGACGGCACAAGAGAAGTGCTCGAGTAACAGAGTAAGTTTGAGAGAGAGAGAATGAGGCCTTAGTTTAGGTTTTCATTATGAAGTTATGATTTGGTGTGTGAAAGTGCAATAATATAATTATAAGTAACACATTTTTTTTTTTTGTACAATATATAAAGATTAGATTGGATTGAATTGGGTATTTTAAAAGTAAGATTAACATCTGATTCAATCTAAGTCAGTTTTAAAGAATTCACATATAATACAATCTAATTGAGGTCGGTTATCCGTCAAAGATAGATTGTATTGGATTAGACCGGACGGTTTGATCAGTTGATTGGATGGTATTAACACCCCTAGAAACAGCTGTTGAAATAAAACTATTAAAATGACCTAAGCCATGAATTCTTCCAACAAGTACATGAAATTAGTGTGGAAAAAAGACGGAGTTGTCAATCTTTGATATACAAATAAACTTATCTTCTGTGTAATTGTCTGTTTGATTTACCATTTTAAGAGTCGGTTTTGAGTATGATCCACTTCAAGAATATCAAAATGATATATTTATATGTTTCTAAAACGGTTAACATATGAATGAGAAATTGAAACTTAAAGTGAAGTTGAGAAAACTAATAAAAAAACTATCTCATATCGAAAAGAGACATCTTAGCCTTATAAAAGGGACCCCAACTCCTTATTTGAGACATAATAGAATTTTAGTTGTCTTCTCCTCTTAGAAATTCCCCCTCCCTCTTGTGTCCTTAGCGTGTATGGATTGTAATTTCAATTTTTGTAATTGTCATATTTTACTTGTTAATCTATCGACGGTAGTAGAGTTGAACGAAGCGACGACCAATTCTCAACCGCTAACACCGGTGATGAAGGCAGCACTCGGGGCGTCAGGGCAGTGGCAGAGTCAGACAAAGTTTCGACTAATTTTCAACCGCCAACACCGGTGATGAAGGCAACACCCAGGGCACCAGGGTGGTGGTAAAGTTAGATGAAGCGATGACCAATTTTCAACCGACAATGCCGTCGTTATTCATTTCTTAAATCTTGGAGGAAAGTTATTTTTTTAATCACAATCTTGGAGAACGTGACTTTCTTTCTAAAGAATAGGAGTTGTGAATGAGGATTGAACTTTTTCTCCTACACATATATATGTTGCCACGTCTATCTAATAGCCCTGAAAAAAGAAAAAGAAGAAAATAACATATGTATAGTTGTTCTATAGTTCCACAGGATATCTGAACCACCCCTGTGTTAAGTTGTATTATTAGAAAAGGATTCGACATTTGGGTTCTAACTTTCTGTGGGGCTATTGAAGGGTAACTTTTACTCGACTGCCAACTGAATGAGATCTAATAATGATAGTGAGCTTGTCTTGGGCTAACGTGAAGAAAATAAAACAAGAAGAAAATAATATAGTTTCACAGTATATCTGAACCACTCATGTCTTGAATTGTATTATTAAAAAAAATTCAACATTTAGGTGACATTTAGTTTATGAATTTATAATTATGATTAGTGATTCTGATTTTGAAATTTAAATTTTATAAGAAAAAAATACTGTAACGAACTAAGAACGATGATTCAAAATCAAGTCAAAACCCTCAAAACGAACAGAGCATTAGGTTCTAACGTATTCTGTGGGGGCATTGAAGGGTATTTCAGTACTTTTACATGACTGGCAACCAGATAAGATTTGACAATGACAATGAGCTTGTGTTGGGCTAACATGAAGTCGGATGTTATTCGTACTAGTAATACACAGGGCATGGACATGTATGGGTCTACACTTGTTAAATGTTAAGCTTTTTTAGGGAAAAGTTTGCCGTGTTTAAAATTGTTTTTATTTTTATTTTTCATGTTTTTTGAAAACAAAAAAATAAAACAATTTTAAAACAGTGTTTAGTATAATTAAAGATAAAAAATAGAAATGAAAACGATTTTTTAATTTAGTGTAAAATGAGAGAGAAATAAAAAAACGACTTTTAGTCGTTTTTTATTTTTTGTTTTCATTTTCTCATCTCTCGAGCAGAGAGAGACATTAATGAGTTTTTTTATACTGAAAACAATCTCTTAATAAAACTATCAAACACATTTTCAAAAATGATTTCTGTCTAAAATTGAAAACGTTTTTATTTCTATTTTCATATAAAAAATAAAATCATTTTAGAACGAATTTTAAATACACCTATTAATTCTTATTCTATTCAGTAAAAGAAATTATAGTAAATATTTCACTCACACGTACCCACAAAGAATTATAGTAAATATTTCACTCACACGTACCCACAAAAAAAAATCCTACATATGTGCTGACATTTCAGAATTAATTTTCAATAATTCATAAAATACAACTAAATGGTTAACCATGGGAATTGATTAACCTTGCATTTTGAACTGTTGCATTTTTCCATCTTCAAATTGCTATGCTTACTTCCCCGACTTCTCAGCAATATCTATTTTGACTAATGAAATTTCGAGAATACCTTTTTTTGTTTCTAGTGTATTACTTTATCTCTATGATCAAATAGAATAAATGACTTATGAAAGGGTATTTTCAAAATTTCATAGGTCGAAATTGACAATTGGCCGAAAAAGCAACACGAATTCGTAATCTGAAAGTACATAAGTGCAACAATTCAAAATGAATTGATAACCCCAAGGAAAAATAGAGCAACATCCTATTCCTGTTCCTTACATCTAAAGAAGCCATATCTTATTACACAATTGAAACAAAAGTATGCTGTGCACAAGTTATTGGTTAATCGTTCGCAAGTTTGTGTTTCTGGTGGTGGTTGATGATTACGGGGATTTAGCAATTGAAATGGCATTGTGTATTGGAGCATAACATGTTAAATATATTATTATTACATTTTTTGGTGCTAAATATAAAATTAATATTAATATTTGTATCAGAGATGGTCAAATCTATACACAACGTAAGTTGAAGAGGTTTGACACATGCGCTTGCGTCACCCACACACATGACACATGCATATCATTGCTGGCCTTGTCCTTGTGTGTATAAATTGGTGATCACCGACAATAGAAGCACAAGTTTTTCTTTATTGATACGTTTACCTTTCAAGTAATTCAGCAACTTTATAGTCTCCTTCAATCAGCTATTATAATGAGTTCGGACACAGCAAGTGGGGATTGCCTTGGATGGGCAGCTAGAGATCCATCAGGAGTTTTGTCACCCTACACATTCACCCGCAGGTAATAATACATATACATAAGACGTATACATGTGTGTGTGTGTAAATATCAATCACTATTTGAAGTTAAATATGTTGAATCAATCGCATACATATAGCATTAAACATGTTATTATTGTTCAGGGCTCTAGGCAGTGATGATGTTTCAATAAGGATTACGCACTGTGGTGTTAGTTATGCTGATGTTCTTTGGACCAGAAACAAACATGGAAATGCCTTGTACCCTGTTGTTCCCGGGTGGGCATCCTATCACACATACTCATCTTTTTCTTATCAACCCCATATCACTTAACTGTCTAATACTTTATTAATTGCATAACTAATTAATGCAGGCATGAGATTGCCGGGGTTGTGAAAGCGGTTGGTTCTAATGTTCATCAGTTCAAAGTCGGAGATCATGTCGGAGTCGGAACTTACATCAACTCTTGCAGAGAATGCGAGTTTTGCAATAATAACCTTGACATTTATTGCGAAAAGGGTGCGCTTTACACCTTTAATGGCGTTGACGCTGATGGTACCGTTACAAAAGGAGGCTATTCCACTTACATAGTTGTCCATAACAGGTGATTTGATTCTATTCCACATGCGGATCTGTAAAAAGGACATGGCTCAAAAAAAGTAGTTTAACTGTGACCACCATCATCAACATCAACAGGTACTGCTTTAGAATACCAGACAACTATCCCTTGGCTTCAGCAGCACCTCTACTCTGTGCCGGGATCACTGTATATTCTCCGATGATGCGCCACAAGATGAATCAACCGGGAAATCTCTGGGAGTCGTTGGGCTTGGTGGCCTTGGTCACATGGCTGTCAAGTTTGGCAAAGCTTTTGGCCTGAACGTAACTGTTTTCAGCACAAGCATTTCCAAGAAAGAGGAAGCTTTGAATCTTCTTGGTGCAGACAAGTTTGTTGTCTCATCTGACCAAGATCAGATGAAAGTAAACAGACCTTAGTGCCATAGAGTTCAAAACTCCTGAGGAGTTATGGAAAAACAAACCACTTGATTTGTCCCATTTAAGAACCTTTGGGTGTGCTGCCTATGCTCACCAAAAGAAGGGAAAGCTAGACCCTATATCTGTTAAATGTGTTTTCTTAGGATATCCTGAAGGGACTAAAGGTTATCGGTTGTGGGTTAGAGATGGAAAAGGTTTTAAAACAATAAACATCAGAAATGTCATATTTAATGAATTTGATTTTCCATGTTTATCTCACACTAGTATGCCTGCAGGAAAGGGTACTTCCTTAACTAACAATGCAGGTGCTACAGAGAGTCAAATTTAGGTGGAGCCTCCAAAAGGAAAGACGGACATTGATCAGGTGGAGCATGGGCAATCTCAGATGCAACATATTGACTCTGGAAATACCTCTGATGAACCAGAATTTCAGCCATCAGAAGAAATGCAACCCACTCCAGAACTTGATCATAATAGATCACAGCCAGATGACTATGAGCTAGTCAGGGACAGATCTAAGAGAGTTTCCAAGCCAACTCAAAGATATGGGTTTTCAGCCTACTCAGACCTCTTAGCCTATGCTTTCACAACAGCTATGAACATAGATAAACATGAACCAGAAAGCTACAGGGAAGCTGTCAGTTGTAAAGAAGCAAGCATGTGGATTAAAGCCATGAAAGAGGAAATGTCCTCTTTATACAAGAATAGAACATGGGAGATGGTGAAGAGACCAAAAACTCAGTCTGTGGTAGCCTGCAAATGGATTTACAAACTCAAAGAGGGATCATCCGACTCAGAACCTGTGAAGTATAAGGGAAGATTGGTTGCCAAGGGATTTACACAAAAGGAAGGTGTGGACTTCACAGAAGTATTCTCACCGGTGGTCATGTACAAGACAATTAGGATCATGTTATCTCTTGTGACACAATTTGATCTAGAACTAGATCAAATGGATGTCAATACTGCATTTCTCCATGGAGAATTAGAAGAAAGGATATACATGGAGCAGCCAGAAGGTTTTAAAGTGCAAAAAGAAAATGACATGGTGTGTTTCTTCAAGAGGTCTTTATATGGCCTCAAACAATCTCCCAGACAATGGTATAAAAGGTTTGATACTTTTATTACCAAGCAAGGATTTGCAAGGAGTTGGTTTGACACTCGCCTATACTATAGAGGATGCAACATCTGGAGTGCAGAGTACCTATTACTGTACGTTGATGACATGTTGTTAATAAGTAAGGAGAAAACAAAGATAGTCAAGATGAAAGAGATGCTGAAATCAGAGTTTGAAATGAAGGACTTAGGTCCAGCAGGGAGAATTCTTGGCATGAAAATTAATAGAAACAGGAGTACAGGAATCCTATTTCAAAATCAGAGAAAGTACTTAGAGAATGTGACTGAAAAATTCTCTATGAGAGGAGCCAAAGCACCAGGACAACCCATAACCTCTCAATTTCAATTATCATCTCAACAGTGTCCTAAAAGTGAAGAAGAAAGAAAGTTTATGGAAAGAGTTCCGTATGCTAATGTTGTGGGATCGGTGATGTATGCGATGGTCTGCACCAGACCGGATTTAGCTCATGCCATAAGCACCTTGAGCAGATTTATGTCAAATCCTAGAAAGTATCACTGGGAAGCAATGAAATGGTTATTAAAATACATTAGTGGTACCACCAGGTATGGTTTAAAATATGAGAAGCATAGACCAGAAGTTACAGTTGATGGTTTCGTAGATTCTGACTATGCTGGAGACAGAGATAGCAGGAAATCAACCACTGCCGACTTCTTTATGGTGAGTGGTAATTGCATTAGTTGGAAGTCACAACTCCAACCAGTTGTTGCATTATCCACCACCGAAGTAGAATATATGGCAGCCACTGAAGCTATCAAATAAGGCATTTGGATACAAGGTTTGCTCAAGGAACTGAAGCTACTCGAAGGAACAGGAACTGTATACTCTGATAGTCAAAGTGCAATACATTCGTGTAAAAATCTTGTGTATCATGACAGGACAAAACACATAGAAGTCAAATATCACTTCATCAGGGAAAAGATAGCTGAAGGAGAGATCAACATTGAAAAGGTTCCAACTGAAGAGAATCCAGCAAATGTTGGGACGAAGGTTGTAACTCTTAGCAAGTTTAAGCATTGTCTTAACCTGCTAAGAATTGACAATGGCTAATGACAGATGAGGATGAGCAAGGGTCCAGAGGAAGGGAAGATTTGCACTAAGGGATTATATGTAATTGAGGTGGAGATTGTTGATTCAATTACATATAATTAAAAGGAATATTACTTCTGCAACAAATGAAGATAGAAGAAGAAAGAAAATGACAACTCTTTCTTACTTAACTTCAACAATACGACAGCATTATTGGGAATAGTGTCCTAGAAGCATGAGATGTAATAGGATATTTATTATTTAATTAATAAAAGAGTTTATTCATCATTTTATGTGCATATATTTATGAATATTTTATGAATATCAAATGAAAATTTCGTGATTGTTTATGTAACCTTAAACATAGTATATAAGTGTTATATACGAGAGGATAGTGTTTAAGGATAATAATCAAAAACATTATTCATGATGAATTTAATTAAAGTTTGGAATCTTTAATTAAAACATTATTAATACATGTCATTCCCATTTAGAATGGAACGGTGTTATTCGCACTGTTAATATGACGAGATATTGAATGAGTGTATTTCGCATAATAAGATTATGTGGAACAGAGACACAGACACAATATGAATTTCTAATAATTTCCGTTAAGCATAGAAATTCTAATTGAGTCTACCGATGGTCATGTATAGGATGATCTTAATCCTGAGTTCTTAACAAACTCCTATTTATGGATTTATGTCTTTTGATTTACTCGGTACGG